TTCAATTTAATTAAACCGAATGGTGCGGTTTTAAAGTGGTGCGGTTTTTCGGTTTTTTTATGTGGTGCGGTTTTATTCGGTTGCGGTTCGGTTTTTAACCGCGTAACTTGGTGCATTTTTATGCGATTTTAAACAGCATAACTTTGCTATGGTTTTAAACCACAATTAAACATTTTAATTGTAATCCAACTTGTTTGGCTGTTAGAACTTTCTGGTACGGTTTTAAAAAATTCTACACTATTAGACATAATGAACTTCGAAAAATCATCATATAATGTTTTTATAGTAATGAAAAACAATCAGGTCTTGTACCAACAAGTTTTTTTCAATAATATACAAAACTATTCATCTGAATGGAGAGGTGCATGACTGGATACATGAGAAAAAGACTTGTATTTATCAAATCAGAATTATAATATATGTTGTTATTTCATAATAATGCTAAAGTTTGTAGAAAACAATTAAAAACATTGTACATATAAAGTAACATGCGTATGAATTAACTTCAGGTGCGGTTCAGTTTTGAAAACAATTAAAAACCATAGTACATATCTATTGATCCCGCTTGAATAGAAAGATAATTTTTGATAATTAATTTATTAATAATCAAATAATAAATATTATATACAGCTATTTAATATGTAAATACCGGTGCGGTTCGGTTTTTGCGGTTTGTATATATTTCAAAACCGCACCGCACCAAAAAAATTCGGTTTTTGCAAAAGTAAAAACCGCACCATCGATTTTTGTTTCGGTTTATGCGGTTTATGCGGGTTTTTTAGACACGGTTCGGTTTTTGCTCACCTCTAAATTGTTACCTTTCCATCTAGGTACTTTCTCCCAAGAACTTTGGAGAAAAAACCCACCATGATTGATTGTAATTGTGAAAAAAAAATAGAAGATCTATAAAAAATCAAGAAAGAAAACCCTATTTTTCAAGAGTTTAAGTGCAAAGATTGGTTTCTTAATCTAACTTCATTCGCATCCACATATAAGTTGTGAATATTTCACACTAGATTATAACCCGTGGAAACCACGATGGTTATATTTAAAATTATTATATAGACAAAAAAAAGGTAATTATGAGACTGTATCACTGATTTATTGGGATATATTAAAGTCCGAGAGATTTAATATTATTTTTTAATTTCAAAATTTGAATTGAAATTGGTCTGTTACAAAACAAAAATCAAAAATGGTAGAAATCATAGAAAAATATGACTATTTTATGTTTCATTTGTCGGGATAGGTAGATTTAGGGTGGAACATCTTGATTTGTTACTTTTTGTCCTAAGATTTTTCTAATTAAAATTTTTGATGATGAAAACAAGTAATTAGATAGAGAAGGTTTTAGAAGAAGTTTTGCTTTGTTTTTAATTATTTATTTAGGGGAGGTGGATATGATGGGTTGTAGATTAAGGAGCGATGTATAAATCATAACCATAATTCAGAGCGGCGATAAGTCGTTAGAAATGAAAAGAGAACTTGAAAAGACAAAATTACCTTCATGCATACATGATCTCTTTTTTAACAAGTCTTTTTAACGGGTGATAACTTTAGAGATCATGCGTTCAACTTTTGAAAAGCATTGAGATAAAGTCATATCAATTTTTAAAAAATTGGACTCAAACTACACATAGATGTAAACCACATAAATCAAAACTATAATTTAATGATAAATACAAAATGAAATAACAAAATAGTCTTTTGACAAGGATTTAATGGATTAAACCTAATGGAATCAAGTAAATCACCAAAACTCCGAACAAAATCTTGAAATATTGGAAAAAAAAAAAAAAACTTTGGAACAAAAAATATACCAACACAAAAGTCTAATTAACAAAGTTACGCCGTAATTTTATTTAAATAAAATAAAATTTTAAGAAGCAAAGAAGAAGCTGTATATAAAGTGTCTATAAATTGGATATATTTTGTTGGGAAATCTCCGCAAAAATCTCAATATTTTACCCTAATTTACGAAAAAGTCTCAAACTAAAATTTATTTACGAAAAAGTCTCAATTACCGGTAAAAACGACGATTTGACCCTATTTTCCCCACTCTTTTCCATGTTCCCCTTCGGTTTTCATTATTTCATTACCGGGTTTTAATAAAGTCTCATTATTTTACTATAATTTACGAATAAGTCCCAAATTATGATAAAATAATGGGACTTTAATGAAAGTTATGGTAAAATAATGAGACTTTAATGAAACCAGGTAAGTATTGAAACCGACAAACCGGAAAAAAATGGTCAAATCGTCATTTTTTCGGGTAATCGGGACTTTTTCATAAACCAATTTTAGTTTGGGTATTTTTCGTAAATTATGGTGAAATATTAGGATTTTTCCGAAGATTTCCCTATTTTGTTTTACCAAAACTATTTTGTACCTCAATGACAACAGCTATATCCATATGATTCAATCCGTATTTTATGCAATACTATAGGGACCAGACTTGTAATTTTACTATATATGCAAAATATCACGCGTGAAAAACAAATTAAATTATTAAAGCATCTTTCCTTCTACACCCTTCCTCCACCTAGTCTCTAACATCACTGGTCACCAGTACACTCCACACTCCACACTCCACATACTCCATAAATGTCTATATATACATCTTAATTTGCATATCAATCACTCACAACTACTACCAACAACAACCATTACTTCACTCATAACCTGTAAACACTGAAACACATGGATGCCTTTATGGAATCGTATTTCCCAGTTCCAGCATTATCATCGGAAAGTGTTCCGTTAGTATGCATTTTGACCACAAATTGCAGCACAACCTCTGTCTTGAATGCCGCTGCTGAAGCAGAAGTGATGCTGGCTTCACTGAACCCGAAGAAGAAGGCCGGAAGGAAGAAGTTTAGGGAGACTCGACATCCAGTGTACAGGGGAGTGAGAATGAGGGATAACGGGAAGTGGGTTTGTGAGTTAAGAGAGCCCAACAATAAGTTGAGGGTGTGGTTAGGGACTCATCCTACTGCTATAATGGCAGCAAGAGCACATGATGTGGCGGCGTTTGCTTTCAGGGGGCGACTGGCGTGTTTGAATTTTGCTGATTCAGTGTGGCGGCTGCCGATCCCGAAGTCTAGCAGTATAGTGGATATACAAAAGGCCGCTGCAGAAGCTGCGGAGGCTTTTAGATACACGGAGGATGTGGTGGAGATTTCGGAAACGGAGGAGTTGCCGGAAATTCTGTTTTTCGTGGATGAAGAAGATGTTTTCGAGATGCCGGAGTTTTTTGCTAGCATGGCGGAGGGACTGATGGTTGCGCCTCCTCAGATGGTGGGGTATGGCGATTATGGGGATGACGTGGAATTTTGTGCTGACGAGTCATTATGGAGTTAGCATATATATATTCGATTTAGATTTAGATTTCAGATATATTGATTGATTTCCCCCCTCTCATGACTTGAACCAATGAGAATGTAAAAACTCTATCATCAATATAATAAAACAAATTGATTTTACCATAATACATTCATATCTCAAGATCACTTGTTAATGTACTTTGTTTTTTAGAATATACTACCTCATTATATATTGGCTTCGTCGAATTCACACAATTTTTATTTTCAGTTATGGGAAAAACAATAGATATACCAAAAGCGAATAAATTTTTTCATGGTCTAACGGTATACAAGCATAAACATATATATATATATATATATATAATATAATATAGATATATATATATATATATATATATATATATATAGGGAAAAGTTCAATAGAGAATTATTAATTTTGGTTTTTCAAGGAAACAATCTTTTTTTCAATTTCTAAAGCTTATTCTTTATCGAAAAAAAAATCTAAAAATATCTAAATTCATATATTAACATTGTGAATGTGAAAAATATTTTTCGGATTCACCGTGTGAATCCAGATTCATATTGTGAATTTTCAAAGATTCACATTGTAATTTGACGTAAAAAAAATCGAATTTGATCTCATTGGAAAAAATGATAAAAGTTATTAATTTCTGTATTTTTTAGTTTTTTTTTTTTGATAAAAATAAGTTCTAAAAGTTGAAAAAAAGATTGGTTTCCTTGGTTAATTATGATTCTCTATTGAACATCACCCTATATAATAATATATAATATATATAATCTATATATAATATATATATATATATATATATATATAAGATATATATAGAGAGCCGAGAGCGAGAGAGAGAGGATGGTTCAATTGAGAAAAAAAAAGTTAAGAATAGGGGAACCATTATCAGCCAATTATTTAATGAGCTTAAAAAACGCGCGGTGACAAACTTGTAAATAATCCAAATACATTAATGAGCGGTGGCAAATTTGTAAATAATCCAAAATCATTAAACCGTCAGGACACTTCAGTAATTTAATCACACATCAAATCTTGACAGAAAACCATCATTTCCCTCTTCGATACTCCATAACACGAAAACCATTTGTAGAATGATTCAACAACATAAAGGATTCTCAACATCGAGAAGAAGAAAATGAAGAAAAATGTTTTCCGACGAAAGCATAAACGAAACCATTTCCTCACTCTTGACTATGAAAGGTAACCATCGGTGTTTTTTTATTCGATTTTTAACGATTTCTAATCATTTCTAAAATTATCACTTGATACTTGAAATTTTTCGTAATCGTCGTTCATTATTAGTTGATTTAGAACTAAAAATTTTGTATTCACACTGTTCAATCTTCAAACTAGGTTGTTACTTATAATTTTGTGATAATCGTTCATTCTCGTAACCCTCCTTCGTTATTACTTGATTTACTTGAAATTTTTGTAAGAATCATCCATTATTAGTTGATATATAATGATTTTACATCTTCTCTTCATTTTTCATACTTATTCACAACTTTTCTGTCAAAATATAAACGTTATTTCACATTTCGCTTATGTTTTCCTAATATTAACTACTTACCCTTACAGAAACAACACCGACAGTGAAGAATACATATAAACGAAAAACAAAAACAAATCAAAAATGTAAATAAAATATGTATTCCATTTAGATCTAATTAACTTTATTCATAAGTGATTGCCAACATTTAGATGAGATTTTACTTAAAAATACAACAGTAAATGAAGATACTGAAGATAATTTTGTTTTGATATGTTTTGTTTACTTCTGAACACAAACAATACTAAATTATATATGTTATATTCACATATGAATAGAACATAATTTGTTGTCATATATACATTATTCAAATATGAATACAACAAAAATAACTTATATATGTTCTATTCACATATGAATATAACATACATATTCATATGTGAACAAAACATATGAATATATATGTTTTATTCAAATATTCATTTGTGAATATGTATGTTATAATCACATATGAATAGAACATAATTTGCTGTCATATATACATTATTCAAATATGAATACAACAAAAATGACTTATATATGTTATATTCACATATGAATATATCATACATATTCATACGTGACTAAAAAAATATGAATATATATGTTTTATTCAAATATTCATTTGTAAATATGTATGTTATATTCACATATGAATAGAACATAATTTGTTGTCATATATACACTATTCAAATATGAATGCAACAAAAATGACTTATATATGTTCTATTCACATATGAATATAACATACATATTCATATGTGAATAAAAAATATGAATATATATGTTTTATTCAAATATTCATTTGTGAATATCAAACTCATTTATCTTCTACTCACTATTGAATGAAGGTAAGAAGACTAACGTTTCCGATAAAGATTCACCAACAATGAGAGAAACACGATCAATGCAGAAAAATCAAAAAGGTATAAAATACATATCATATCATTTATATCCCTGCAATAATTTTTAAATAACATGTATATCCCACCTATAAATTTTTTCTATTAACATATGAATAATTCAATCTGGATATGTTTTATATTAAAAAAAACTATTGAATTCTTGTATTCATATATGAATAAATATACGGCTTAGCTTTGTTTGTATTCAAAAGCTAATCATATGCGAAAGGAAACAAGTATTAATACCTTTATGTTGTTTTGTTTTGGAACATTTTTCTTTTGAAATTGGTGATTGATCTTCACATATGAATATACCATATATATATATATATATATATATATATAGATATATATATATATATATTATATATATATCTGTTATATTCATTTATGAATAACTTATATATCCCAACTATAATTTTCTTCTATTAACATATGAATACTTCAATCACAATCTGGATATGTTTTATAATAAAAAAACTATTGAATTCCTGTATTCATATAATAATAAATGTATATGGCTTAGCTTTGTTTGTATTTAAAAACTAATCATATGTGAATGTAAACAATTATTCATTCCTTTATGTTTTTTTTTTTGTTTTGGAACATTTTTCTTTTGAAATTGGTGATTGATCTTCAGTATCTTCACATATGAATATAACATATGTATATATATATATATATATATATATATATATATATATATATATATATATATATATAACTGCTATCTTCATTTATTCATTTATGAATATAAAATATTTTCTTTGTAAAATGTATTTCAAAATTATTTATCTTCTACTCACTAATTCATGAAGGTAAGAAGATTTGTATTTCTGATAAAGACCCCACAACAATGATAGAAACAGATTTGAAGAGGAAAATGCGAAAGGTATAAAATTCCTATCATATCTAATATATTCATATATGAATAAAATTCTATATCTTAGTTACATTTTTGTAATAAATAAATATTAATAAATCAACAAATGTATATCATATTCATATATCAATAACTTATTCAAATATTATATGTTTTCATTTCCCAGATAAAAAAGAAACAAAAACACCAAAGAAAAGAAAGCATCAAAGCAGAAAAAGTCCATCAAAAAGGAAAACTCCTGAAAAACGACAACTACATGATTCAGACTATGATTTTGAAAGTAGTCGTCTATCAAAGAAGGCAAAAAAAAGGAGTCACCAATCAAGAAAGAGAAAAAAAACCAGTGGTAAAGGAATTTTACTCGATGAAAAACAGATGTTCACCAGAGTCATTACTATCTATAATCCTTGGGTTGAGCAAAAAACAAAAAGAATGTATAAGATCTATGGGTTTTGGAAGTTTGCTAAAAATGAAAATCACAGATATACCACTGAAGTTGGGATTTTATATTCTTCAAAATTTGATTATGAGAAAATGCTGATAGATGTTGAAGGAAATGAACTGAAAGTAACAACACAGTCTGTTCATGACATGTTGGGCATTCCAAAAGGTGGAACCATACTTACACAACTGGATCAATGGCCTAAAGATGATACTAGTTATGATGAATGGAAGCAACAATTTCAAGAAGGATCAATCATCCGATTGAATGCGATCAAAAAAGTTATTGTTAGTACCACAGAAGCTGATTTCAATTTCAAATTGAACTTCTTAGTTCTTTTTGTCAACACGTTTTGTGAGTCAACATCAATGGGAAGATGCAACCTGTTTCCTTTGAGTTATATTTCAAGAAAAACAAATATCAGCAAAATAGACTAGTGCAACTATGTTTTGGACTGTCTTGTCAGAACAAAGAACTCATACGTACCATACTCATATAACAACTACTTTGTTGGACCTTCAACTTTCTTGGTGGTAAGTTATTATAATGTTTATACTCAATTTTTAATAATATTAATTATTCATAACTGAATAGCACATATTCATATATGAATAAGTAAAAAATAATATTACTTGTTCATATATTATATATATATATATATATATATATATATATATATATATTCATATATGAATAAGTAATGGTTTGAATTACTTATTCATATATGAATATCAATTAGTTATTATTTATGTGCAGTTGTTCTATGCTGATAACATCCACTCAGAAGCTTTAACGGTAACATGTAAATGTCTAACAATTTGTTATTGGAGTTCAGAGAAGATTAGATATCGAGAGACATTTGAACAAGAAGAATGTAGATTTGGACTTGGAGAATTAAATGAAGAATTTGTTAATGAACAAGATGAAGGAGATACAGATCTCGAAGACAGTGATTCTGATAAAGATGAAGAGCAATTTGTTGAGGTAATTAGTTTGAACATGTTAATAATATATGATTACATTAAATTATTATATTAAATTCTAATCATACTTCTTTTTATTACATAGGCATATGAATCAAAAATATCTAAAATGCTTAATAGTTTTGAGAGGATGAAGGAAAAGCTGAATTCAAAACTCAATGATGCGATAACAAAGTTCCCTGAAAAGGAAAGTTTTAGGATTTTCAAAGAAAAGATGACAAATATAATTGTTGAAGAAAAAACTCAAAGCACAACACTTTTTTAATTTCCAAGTAATGAAACTGGAGTTGAATGAATCAATTTGACACCAATAATAGGTCAAAAAACAAATGATCAAAAAGAAAATGAAGATAAAGAGGGAAATGGTGAAGAACACAATGATAATGATGAAAGTCAACCGGAAGTAGATTATTTGTTTGATTCAAATGAAGCAGTGAATGAAGGAATAAAGAATGATGGAGATAAGAATAAAAAAGAAGGTTAAACTGAAGTAAAAGAGAAAGATGGAAAGAACAATGAAAATGACAATGATGAAGAGAAAAAAGATAAATGATGCTGAAGAAACAAATAATCATGAAGAGACTATTCAATAAACTGAAAATGAAAATATGTTGGATAAAGTTGTTGACAACATTGTGGATAATGTGCTTGGAATTGGATTTTCAAGTTCAAATAGTCAAGAAGATGAAATCTGGAATGACCCTGAAATGAAAACTATTTTGGATAATATTGATATAGGTAAATTTTGACTTACTTTTATTTTAAAAAAATATATAAAAATATTAATACACAACAACAATTTTGTTTATTAAATTTTGACAAGGGTCACCAATAACTAGAAGTAAAACTAATACTCTTATCAGTCAAGTTATTCAAGGTATGGTACTATAAAATTATTATTTATTCACTAATTAATTAATTAATTATATTTAATATATAATATTAAATGGATCTTGCAGAAAAAGGAAAATCAGAAGGTGTACATAAACAAGGAAAAGAAGTTGAAAAAATAAAGGGAGATGATACATGTAAATGAATGATTTAAAATATATTACAACATTTATATTGATTTTTTTAATAACATTGTTTATTCACAAGTGAATAATACACTATATAAATGAGTAAAAAATATAAAATATTCATATATGATGTATATGTTTCAGGCAAGGAAAACTATGAACATGGAAATAAAGGAGGAACAGAAGCTAAGAACACGAAAGATGGAGGTGCAGATAAACAAACAAAATTTGAGAAAGGAAATGCAGAAGATAGAGGTAAATAGTTGATTCACTAATAAATGAATATAATAAGTTTTATTATTCACAAATGACTAACACAATATACGAATAAATAAAAAATATAGTATTACTTATTCATAAATAATGATATTCATTACTTATTCATAAATGAATACATTACTTATTCACAAATGAATTACTTAATCAAAGTTCTTTATCTTTCAGGAAAGAAAAAGTCAGAAAATGAAAACAAAAAAGGAGAAAAAGCTGACAAGACAAAAGGAAATGAAGGAGGTAACAATTTGGAAAAACATTTCAAAATATAAAAAAATATTATAATTAACTTACAACTATTTATATGATAAATCTCCTGGCATGCAGATACTCATCCAAGCTTTAATCTAGGTCTCAACCAAGATTCAGATCAAACTTCAAGTAAAAAATCTAATGAATCTTCACCAAAAAAAAAACCACTTACAAAGAAACAAATCAAAGACGACCATCAGAAGGTTGTTATCAGATTAGCAAACAAAAATGTTCTTAATCCAAATCCAATCTCTGTAGCAATTCCTACTGAAGTAGGACCATCAAAGCATGATCTGGATGAACCAAGAGAGAAGAAGCTTGCCGATGCTTTCAAATCACCTTTCAAATGTAGAATAATAGACACAAAACCTAAACTGACACATCAGGAGAGTATTGTCTGTGAGTGGTTGTTCAACTTGCAAGGGAATACATCGTAAAAAACTTTATTTTATAGAAATTCATATATGATTATTATATAGATAATAATGTATGACATTTTGATTATATATTTGCAGAGATGTGGTTGTCCAGACAAAATATGGTCAGATAATAGAAAAAACAATTATGGAAAGTCTATATGCAAGCACAGAGATTTTTGGAGAAGTTTTAGACACTTGGGCTGATTTACTTAACCACCAAGAACTGGGAAGGGATTTTGGAAATTCACCATACAGACTCTTCTTGAAAGTTGGAGTTTCTGTAAGTTTATGTTCTAACCTTAATTTCTTCTTTATTGATAAATGAATACATCAATGTGATGTATTCATTTATGAATATTATATTTTTTACAACTGAAATTCACATATGATTATACAAATATGATGTATTCTTTAAGATAATTATGTATATTCAACTGAAATTCACATATGATTATGTATTCATATTTGAATAAAAAAAATCAAAAATAAATATCTTTAGTATATACTTATGATTATTATACCAACACGATGTATTCATTTATGATTAACAATTTACTAATCCTTTAAAATTATATTGGTTACAGACTGCTTATCTAACTTCAACATTGTCTGATGAAAGAAAGTATGAAAAATTCAAGGAGAACTTTCATGACAGTACCGATGGGTACAAAAAAATCTTGAACATAAAATATATTGACATGGTATGTTAATTAAACTTGTTTTTTTATATATATTTTATCAACAAAATACTTACCATTATATACATAAAAACAGGTATTCTTTCCGGTTGTTAGAAGTGCTCACATTTTTGTGATTGTCTTCAACTTAAAGAAACCATCAATTGAAATTCTGGACAACAGTGCAGTTGAGGGGGATTATGAAGGGAAATACAGATTGCTATTGAAACCTTTGGTATGTACCCAATTCACAACAACATAAAAGAACTAATTTATTACATATCTAACTTTTATTTTATTTAATGATCAGAAAAATTTGTTAGTGAGATACTTTAAAGAAATAAACCATCCAAAAGCCAATGCAATCTCAAAAGAAAGTATCACACCCTAACGACTTGAAATGTCATGGAGAACAATAAAAACAAAGTTGATTGTCGGGTCTTTGCAATGAGACATATGGAGACCTATATGGGACAACCAATCTCAAAGTGGAAACCAGGTCTTCATAAAGAAAGTGCAATTCAACAAAATACTTTAGAGAAGCTCAGGCAAAGGTATCACACCGAATGCTAAGTTCTGAAATTAACATGTTGAAGGCTAAGGTGTTGGATCTTGCTGAAAATATCAAAAAGTTGAATTCAAAGTGCGTATTGCTCATGCATACAAGGCTATGCAAACAATTCAAAAAAGGTTAAAATAATATTGATGATTGCTTGTGATGAAGTGTGATGGTATAGAACAGTTTGTGTTGAAGATGCAAACAAGTTTTAGATGGTTTGTTAAGTGTTATTGAACATCTTTTAAATAGTTTGTGAAATGCTTATGAACAGGTTTTATTATCTTGTGTTGAATGATTATGTAATAGAAACAACTTTGCTTATTTCTGTCAGTTTTTTATATTCAAATATTTTCAAAGTTTATTTCTGTTTATTCATAAATGAATACGAATATGATATATTCATATATGATTAAGTTAGGAGTAATATGTCAGTATAACAAATTTCATATATGAATATAAGAAATTTCAGATATAAATATAACTTCTTTATTAGTAGAAACAAGTTTGTTTATTTCTGTCATTTTTTTATATTCAAATATTTTTAAAGTTTATTTCTGTTTATTCATAAATGAATACGAATATGATATATTCATTTATGATTAAGTTAGGAGTAATATGTTAGTATAACAAAGTTCAGATATGAACATAACAAAGTTCAGATATGAATATAACTTATTTATTAGTATAACAAAGTTCACATATTTGTATTCATTTATGCTAGTTTTCAATTTTATTTAATTTTATTCATAATTGAATACCAACATTGTATATTCATTCATTCACCTTTAATAATAACATCTTCATTGATAAATGAATCCACATATTATGTATTCATTTATGAATAACTTACAAATAATATGTGAATTTCACATATAAATTTACCATATCAATATAACTTATTTAATAGTAAATTAAAAAACAAATATGATATATTCATTTTAAAAGAACATATATTTCACATCTCAATTTACCATATCAATATAAATGTGTATTATTCATATATGAATATTATTGTTTATGGTTATTATCTGCATATATTCATAAATGAATAAAACCAAAAAACATAAAAAAAAACCCTAAATGTCTTTTGTTGATTGAGCAGCTGCAATTCTTATTGAACATGTACGTAAATTGTGAGGAACTCGTTTTTCACATCCTGGACACATTCTATGTTCTTTTTTAGAATTTTCATATGCTACTTCACCTGCACTTGGAATTCTTTTCTTGATTCCAAAACCTTTATTACTTTGAACTTGAGGAACATGAATATTAATCTCTTTTGGAATAGGAATAGAAACACCCATAAACTTGCATACGACTTCACCATCCGTCTTGCTTTTCAATACAGCAGATGTATAATCACTCTCACTCTCAAATTCCTTCAACAACATCTGTTGTTTCTCAGCAAACAAAGCCAATTTCTTTTTGTCATCTCTTACAATATCCAAACATGATTCAAAATTATAATATGAATCACTGACTAGCTTCACATTCTCACAATCCCCTGAATCAGATTGAAGAGAACTACAACGATAATTTCTTGATATCACATTCTTTCTCCATCTTTTCAGAATGTACCTTTCAGGAATTTCTTTCACACCACATCTCATCATTATTGTAAAAGCATGTCTGCATAAAACACTCATACTCTTGAAATGTTTACAATTGCAATTTATTTCTTTCTCTTCAGCTTTTATTTCAACCTGATACAAAAACATAATAAAAAAAATGAAAAAACAATTTAAACAAAAATTACACATTTACATTCATATATGAATACTCATATATGAACAATCATATATAAGTATTCATATATGAATATTACATTCTAATCATATACAATAATACATATTCATATATGAATAATAATAAATAAATATTCATATATGAAAATGTTCTAAGTTTAAAATAATAAGAATATTCATTTATATGAATATTCTCATATTCATATATAAACATTACATTTTTCATAAAAAACTATTAAATTACCTTAAATTCATTTTTAAATTCTCTTTTAGTGTTGTTGTGTTGCACAATGTAAACTTCTCACCCATCTTCAATACCAACATACGAGTATGTACAGAAAAAACTTGTTTTATATATTTCCTTTTGCACCTCAAAAAATAATGTACTTGTATAAACCTTTGATGCTTGTAGTTCTATTTCTCGAGGTGTTTGCATTTTATATGATGCTTTCTTTGATGCCTTATCAAGCTCTCGTTGAGTATTCCTTTGCTTTTGAATGGCAGTGTCGTAATTCATCATGAAATTCAAAAGTAAATTAC